ACACACACACACACACACACACACACACACACACACACACACACACAATCACAAATATCATGTAACAGAAAAGTCTCTGCCTAATGTTATATCTGTCAGCATATGGAAGTAACTGCTCTTCAATATATTGAATACCCCGAACTGATTTGGCCGACATCTCATCACACAATCACTAATCCAGGTGCCTTAATTGTGTCCATGCAGGTTTGTCGACATGTAATCAAAAACAAACAGCGCCCTCTGGTGTGCAGCTGTAATATCACAAAGAGATGAAAGATGTAGTCAAACTAAGCAAACACGCGCTCTGTTGATATACTGCCTACTCGCGTGGCTTCCAGCTTCCGTTGAAAGCGTCAGCCTCACCCCTTGTATCCCTGCTGGGAAACTGTACTGTATGACAATAGATCCGCAGTGCTCAAAGCCAGGCAGGCGCTGCCAGCTGCGCGTCACCGTCATCGAGCCCTCGGGCTGGGTCCCCGTGTACTCTCCGTGGTAGGTGTTGCATATCGGACAAGCGGGCTTTAACTTGAAAACCGAGTTGATGCACGCAGCGCAGAAAGAGTGAGAGCACTTTAAGGTTTTCTTCTCCTGAATGTTGTCCAAGCAAATGGCGCATTCGTCCGTACTTCTACGGACTCGTGTGTTTTCCATTATTTCCGGGTATGTGACGAGTGTTTTCTTTTCCCGTATATGGATGCAAATGGGTTGGTTTATGGCCGAGCGATATGTGACGTCAACATAGGAAAAGTAATATGTCACCTTCACTTGATGATGCACATCCATGTGGCGCAAACAAACACTCACCCCTGATTGGTTTGGATTAGATATTGGTGGACAGTAGCACATTTTATGAACCAAATGTAAACAAAAAGGTTGCCCCCAGTGGTGGCACATTTACCATACAATTCTGAGGTATTTGTACATTGCTTTTCTTTTCTTTATAAAAAAGCTTTCAGAGGGATTACCTTGTGACGAAAAAAAAGAGTTCAAAACAAACACAAATGAGTATCCAGCTGATCGGTTTATAACCACTTTGTAATTCTTATTTTTACCCCAAACAAGTGGTATACTCCTAATTCTTAAATCAGTCAAGTAGTGACAGTATAATTGTTGGGCCACAAGTGATATTCTTCATAAAGATTATAATTACAGGCACTGATGCTGACATATTGCTGCCTCTGTGTAATTAATTCAATTAGCATTTATAAATAGTTTATATAATCACTTTTGCTTGTGTTCAATATGGCACCCACAGCAAAACTGAGTCTGATTTGTGGCCACACAGGATACCCAACTGACTGGTGACTGGCTTTATTGTGAGTAAATTGTTTGATGTACGGTAATACCGTGGCACCCTGGCGTGTAGTTTGTGCTCTCCTCCTGCTCTAGGTTAACTACTCTTTATTCGTGCCAACCCATTACAGGGATATACGCGACCTGTAGTGTGTTGTTGGATACCAACCAAGATGTTACTGTTTGTGCAAAGCTGGTTTTAAGCATGAAATTAATATTTTTGCACTAATATAGATCTATATGTTTAATACAACGCTGCTTCCTGTGTGTACGTGCCTTAACAGCATCTGAACCTGTTATCTGGGGATGTGGGGTGCTAGTTATTTTGATAAAATTATATAAAATGAATAAATAAAATTATTTTTGCCGTTAGTCGACAGTATGTGGTAGAGAAGCAGACAGGAGTGAGGGGGGAGGGGTGACATGCAACTAAGGTCCCCAGCCAGATTCAAACCATGGCATTGTGGTTTGCGTGATATGCATCTTAGCCACTGCGACATCCCATACCGAACAGTTCATGATGATTTAAAGTGATACACCTCATTCACCAGAAAGTTGAACCATTAATATTCATGACTATACCTCAAAAATGTAATCAAATATATCCTACATTACTCACTTGTAAAGGTAGCGTATGAAGTAAGGTACAAATTGAGTATACACAAGGTATTTCTGAGCTCTGGTCACTCTGCATTCACGATCCACTAGATAGCACAAAGTGCATTTGCAGAGTTCAGTATCTTGAATGAAGACTCTTTGATGTCAAAGGTAAGCAGCTCACATCAAATCTTGATTAGAGGCGACAACCCCAACTCATTCCAAATGGACACGTTTGATATTCAGTTGCTTACGGAGCACCTGGTTTATTCAGGACCTACATTAAATATCCAAGACGAACCCAAACATAACTTTTTATTCAAGTATTAAAATGTAAAGCACATTATTCTGAATATCAACAAAGTACGAATCAACACAATTAGAAAAAGCAAAACGCCAACCTTTCCTTGACAATCAATTTGTAATAGGTGAAATCTCTCCACCTATTCGCTCTCCCTGGCTCTTCCTCAGACATGTAATGCATAGAAATGTTTGCACAGTAGCTTTAGTGAACTACAATCCTGTGTCCCAAAAATATTTCAGTTGGTCCCTAACTAAAATACAAAGAGGATGAAAACATAATACAGGAGTATTTGATGTATGGATCTGACCAGTCAAATGAATGACAAATGTCCCACTAGCCAAGCAGGTTACTGCACTTAGCAAAGCACTTTCACACATACAGCTTCATCAGTCTGAGGGTTCTTCAGCATTTGGACTAGAGAATGTTTATGAAGGAGAAATTAATTCAATACACATTAGCATACATATTTTCATGAACTGTGTAGTATTTGTACTTAAAGCCAGATAGTACAGCTACAAACATAATGCCGTTTAGCTATGAAATAACACCGAAATACGTCCAAACTTACCATTCATTAGTAACATCATGCTTGATTTTTTTTTATCAAAAGTGAATATAAGAAAGGCACAACAAAATGAGATCAACACCCCAATCTAAATCAGATCAATTGTTCCTGCAACATTTTCTTAAGTTATTTTTGTTCAATGTGGAGCGTAGATTATCTATTCAAATGAACAAATTCACAACAGTTACGTTATTTTAAATGAGAACATTAGCAGGCAAATCTCCCAGTTTGACAGGGTCAGAGGCATAGATATTTAAAGAGCTTTTGTGCCTTTGATTTGGTTTAAGTGGTCTATATGCCCTTTTATATTTGACATCGTCATAAATCTGGTAATTAGATGAGCTCATTACCAACAACTGAGGTAATGGGCTCAACACCTGGGAGACATCTTGAAATAACAGGAGTGACCAATGAGTGGGAAAACAAATAAAACCCAGGGGAACGTCCTAATGCATGTAAAAAAGTGCTGCAGTGAGCCATTGTTTAACATTCTTCCTATTTAGATAACATGGAGGAACAAAACAAAACAAAAACAAAAAAGATTGCACGCAAAAGAGTTCCAAGCAATTGACATCAACTTGTAGCCACCAAGCTAATAGCTGACAGCTGCATGAACCTGTTTGCTCCGAGTGCTCTTCCACACAGAGGAAGCAAAACCATGACTCTGACTTCACTGAGGGAAAAAAGGAAAAAACTCCCTTACAAAAGTGCCCGTGAGTGCTTTAGATTGCAATAACTTCAGAAAAGTAATACTTTCTATTGAAGCAGTGCTATTTTGCCATATAACCCAAGTCATATTCTTACAACAGGTAATTAGAAATCAAATTAGAGACTTACTTAAAACATTACTGGGGAGATAAAACCAAAGAATGTGTGCTTGTAAGAAATAAAGTAATCCCCAAAATGGAAATAATCATTAATCTAACAAACGGTCTTTATGAGATAGATTTTCTAAATAATACATAAGTACCATGAATTGCAACACGATGCTCTTAAATAAGTGCATCAGATATCTGTCCTGTTGCCAACAGTGACAGGTAGAGGATTGTGTAATACAAGAATGCACTGCACTCAACAGTATTTTCCTCCACATATAGCACTGGAATAAGCTGAACTATGCAGGAAAAATGAACAAACAGAGGAACAAATAGTGGAGTGAAGTGGGCTCTGCTGCAGCATTAGACGCCCGTCTGCTGAGGGCCTCGTCTTCAGCCATCCCTTAAGGGACGGGCAGTCTCAGAGCACAACCTGGAGCCGAGTCATGTCCACCGCAAGGACACTCGGAAAGTCCTACAAAGTCTTGAAAGAGTCATTTAGATGCCGTCAGTCCGCCGTGATGCCTTTCTCTCTGAGCTCCTCCGTCACGCGCACCAGGTAAGTGGGGTCTGGGTAGCCAAAACTGTCAGGAGAAATAAGAAACGCATCTGTATGAGCTCATGCAGCAATAGTGCCATCTAGTCAAGGACATCAACTGATAGCATTTCCTTGTCAGGAAATTGAATTACAACGGTCGGTCTTTACTGAGCCATTCTCTGAGCTACCACACCTGTTAGGGAAGTTGTTGAGGCTATTAAATCAAGTCCCAGTGGCTATTTGCCTCCAGCTAAAAGGCCATACATACCAGCGGGGCCCGCCCCATATTGAGGTCTTGTGGTGAATGTCATTCCAGGTGATGACATTTTGCATGCCCGTAGTCATGGAGGTACCGATGGTGAAGATAAGGCGCTGTTCAAAGGCCCGGCGCAGCAGTCCTAGCACACGGTTCCCCTCAGGGCTGTCAGGGAGGTAGGCCACGCGGTCTGTTCCTGGGTACCGAACACCTGGGCTGGGGTGTTCTGGCTGTAAAGGAGTTAAAACAGGATCTGTTAAAAAAGGGGCATTGATGGTTTTATAACTATTGTGTCCGTCTACTGGGAGTCTTTGCTACTACACGGATTGCGTTGCCATCTTGTATTTTTAAATTGCGATTGTTTTTGAGAGTAGTATGTTCGAAAGTATGTTTTACATTTATTTATTTATTAAATGTCTTTTGTGACATGTCTGAATTAATGCAGCAGTTCGTTCATTTAAAAAAAAAAAAAAAAAAAAAGTATCTTCATTTATTTCCTGGTAACAGGGAAATCTTTATAAATACTTTATAAAAAAAAAAAAAATCTGTTTTTTATGAGGAAGGAAATTAACTCCACACATTAGTTAGACTTCAGAGATACACGCAGTGCATGTTGGGTGTGTAACATTGAAAGTAAATATAGCTTTTGTTTACAAGAAAACTGGAGTATTTTTTTAAGGTAAATGTCCCTGTGAAGCAATATTGAGAAAACCTGCTTCCTTAAAGCTCTGAACACACACACGGGTGTTTCCAGTTAATCGGAGCAGAGGTCTAATCAACCAGAATAACTGAAAACACCTGCGTCAAAGTTATGAGGCTTTAAAAAACGCACAATCCTTAATTTTTACCTTTGGGATGCATTCACTAAATATTTCAGGAGTTTGTTGTAGTAATGAAAAAAGTGACGCATTTTGTGTTTGCCAACTCACAATTGCAAATACCAGCTTGTTTTACTGCTGTTATAAAAGACGAATACTAACGTAAACACAACAGTGTTATAAAACAATCTAGTGTCATTGTCTAGTGTCCCTCCCTTCATTAAAAGACCCGTCAATGAATTTGAGAGTGACAGCTAGTTCAGGTCATGTGTTTGGAGTTGCCTAATTTGTTTACAATTGGATCAGAAATTGCACCTTTAGGTTGATGTATTTAGTTGTTGGATGTAAAAAGGAAGATTTGCGCAGTGAATCGGAGGGGCCAGATCGTTTAAAAATATCTCATGGTTTAATGTAGTAATTCTTGCATACATGATTGGACTAAAGAAGTAAAATTAATTAGATTTGATTC